TGGCGGGAAAAACTGGGGGAACGAAACCATTTTACACATAATAGGGGAGAACAATACATAAATTGGGGGAATAACACAAGAAACTTAACAACACACTACCACACCCCAGCTCACCTGAGCTCCTCCCTGTCCCTGTGGCAGGTGCCCAGGAAGTTGCCAAACTGGCAGGAGTAGACGTGGTCGTGGATCTCCAGCAGGAAGCGCTCGCTGAACTCGAAGGAGCAGGGGAACTGCTGCATCAGCTGCCACACACACTCCACAAACTGTGTGAACACAGGGGACACCTCCTTGGGGTCCCCATCCAGGTGGCCACACCTACACAGGTGCAAAAAGCACAATAAACCTTCTGTCACCCACCACAAAACATCCCCTTGCCATCCTTCTGTCATCCATCCAAATCAACTCCTTCTCTTCCAGCTCAGGTTTGTGCTTTGATCTTGGGGAAGTGGCTGAGATGCTCTCCCAGGGATTTACCAGGAGAATTACCAGGTCTGGCTGGAGCACTCTGGAGGGGGCAGAGTGGGGTCACCATCCCTCAAAATGCTCAACAGATGTGTGGATGTGGCATTTGGGGACAAGGGTTAGTGCTGGTGCTGGCTGATCTTCATCATCTTGGAAGTCTTTTCCAGCCCTCATGGTTCTGTGATTCCATGGTTAGCACTCCTCAAATAACAGAATTTTACAGGCAGGAAAACACCCAGAATTCAACCCAGGATTTTGTAAAGCAATAAAAACACAGTGATGAAATAACTCAGCAATTATTATAACTTAGCCTTAGCAGACCCTGGCTCTGTGTCACCATTGCCAGTATTTTCCCAACATTTTCTCCTCTCAATTTCAGTTTTTCATGGGATCCCCTAAACCTGCAGACAGTTTTGGTTTCACTCCCCCACCCCAGAGCAATGTGTCCCTCTCACCTGTGGGAGAACTTGTGGCCCATTGCAATCCACTCCTTTTCTATCAGCACCTGCAGGTTCAAAGCAGGGATTAAGAAAAGAGCATTAATTTGCTTAAAAAAGCAAAATGAAACCTTTGATGTTAAAGCCTAAAAAGCTGACAACCTGCTGACCCTATTGCTATGAATATATCCCCAGCAATCAATGGGAACAGCAATTGTGATTTACAGATTATCCAGTTCCCAAGGCAATGTCCCTGCTGGAATCAGAACTCATTTCAAAACTATCATTTTGAGGGAGTTTCTAAGTTGTTAAAATCATAATATATAAATATATTGAGCTGAAAGAATTAACAGCTTAATAATACACTGTGCTATTTAATTTAGAAAAGAGTGTTGTAATATTCAGCAAAATAAATCAGCAAGTGGAGTTCAACAAATGTTTAACAGACAAAAGGAAATATATGAAGTACAGCTGGGCAATGAGGAGCTCAGGATGAAATCAGAACAACTATGTGGCATTTTTTAAATAGATTCCTGCAGTAACAGAAAATAATAACTGTTATAATCTGTTTTCTTTAAAGTAAGATACAATAATCTGTGTTCCTTACAGATAAATAAAATAAAATAATCTGTGTTCCTTGCAGATAAATAAAATAAAATAATCTGTTTTCCTTACAGATATCTCACAAGGAACCACCTGACTGAAGCTGCATCCATCATGACTTTGCTGGATCATATTTCAATATAATTCCTGCTATCATCATCCAGATTAAGAGGAGGAAGGGGAAAACTCACAACAGAATTCTCAGGAAACTTCATTTAATTTGCTTTTTGAATTTTTCCATTCCTTGCACTGCTGATGAATTAATTCAGGAATAAGCCCATGTCAGGGGACTTGTGCCCACAAACCATGAGGGCAGACAGGGCTGTGTCTGTGTCACTGCTCCTGAGTGAAATCCTGCTCTCAGCTCATGCAGGATTGTCCAGGGACAAAACCCAGGCAGATGTTTCATGTGCTGATGGAATTTAACTGTTAAAAGACTGCAGTATAATCCAGGAATAAAAATAGAAACAATAAAACCAGCCTGGAGTGCAGAGAAACAATCCTGGCACTGGAAAAGGCAAAATCTGCATTGTTCTGATTTCAGGGACTCCTTCAAGGAGCTCTCCTGTGACAGAGCAGCTCCTCAGGTATTTAACCAGAGATGAATGGAAAGAAACATCACAGACTGCCCTGAATT